CACACACACACACACACACACACACACACACACACACACACACACACTGATGAACGCCAGCTCTGATTGAGTATACAAGGAGTATTTAATCAAATGTAACTTATTTCGGAGCAGAATCTGTCCCTTGAAAAGCCGAAGAAGACAAAATCGGGAAAGATTTGGGGCCACTCTCGCACACTGTCCCGTGTGGAGGCTCTTGGAATGGTAATTACGGTCTGAAACCTGTTGTCTGGATTAATCCATCGGCTTTGCATTGTAAAATATGCATTGCTTGAAATGTTTACGTGTTGGTTTTTTCAAGTAGATTTAGTTTAGTAGTTTATGATTGAATCCATATGCAACATTTAAAAAAAAAAGATTTTCAGAACATATTGGGTTTATGTATATGATATTCCAATTCCATTTTTTATAATCTAATCTTTATGTATATGATATTCCAATTCCAATTTTTCTAATCTAACCCAAAGCCTATTCGTGGGATTACCAAATCGGTGAGTTGCCAAATTGGAAAAACATGAAAAACTTTAATAATGCAATAGACTGCCTCCTTGATAGTTTACAGAGTCTATATGTAAAGAAGAGACTATTTAAATTTTCACAAGAAAAGGTAAATGTAGTTTGTTAAATGCATTTCAGAGGTTCTGGGTGCTTGGAAGATTAACAGAGGATGCCATCATTCATTGAGCAAAGTACAGACTAGATATGTTGAATTCCAGACATGAGGAATAATGCATCGATCATTTAAACCTGCATGCGTCGTGGAAAGTTTTTATTTTTAATTTTTAGCTTTCTATACTTTTGCACAGTATGGTGGGGCTCTTATCCTGCCTTCAATTCCAGTTATACAGTTCTGAAGGTTTTCTTTCTGCCAGGAAAAAATACCGGATTATATATTGAATTGTAAAATAAGCAAGATGAAATCCTTCAGGACTGTGGTAATATAGTGCATTCCAGATATCCCCATGTATTCCTAAGCATTGTTTGTTGACTTGCAGAGAAGAACAAGTGTAATCAAAAACATAAAAATGCAAATCAGTTTACTGCAATTGCAGGTATTTTGATGCATTCTGTTACAAAAACGTTTGTAAAAATATAAATTTTCTTAAGTGATGAGTTTGAAAGGGAGGAGGATTAGTCATCTTAGTATATTTCCTGAAATAGAGATATTAGCATGCTAATGTGATGCTAGGCCCTCGATGTTAGCATGATGCTAGCTTAATCGTAGTTTCAGTGCTGTGCTCTGACTTTGTTGTATTAACAGTTTAAGATAAGAAAACCATTTGAATAATAGGTTATGGTTTTAGTCTTATACTAAAAAAACATCACAATACATGCTAAATATTTGATTTATAAAGTTTGAGCATTCAGTTAAAATAGTACATAGATTTTGAAACGAAACACAAAAACACTTTAATCCAAAATTTTGGCATCACAGCACATAAAGGTGTTGCCCAGCATTTATTTTTTAATTTTTTCCATTTTATTTTTATGCCCCATGCTTCTATAGTCCAAGCAGCAATGCATTAGAGATCTTCATGTATCCAAACTTGCCCGAAACCATTAAATGGTTTATGTGTCATGCGTTTAATTATTTTGAGGATAATTTGACCTGATTTCATATGAAGTCCAACGGTGATATTGAAACAACAGGACTGTTTCAAGAGTTGCAGGAAAAAGCAAAAAAATGTACACATAATATCCAAACATCTGTATCAAATATAAATTATTGGATATGGTTAAACCGTCCTGATCAGATAGGGACTGTTGGACTTGGTTTGACTCAGGCAAACAATTTGTGGAGATCTCTATATGTGGGATATTTCATGCATTTACAGCATGAAACATCCCCTATAGGCTTTAAAACCTGCCTGTTCCCTTCACATTTCTCATAGCAGACTGAGACTCTCCGTGCAGAATAACATAACACAACAATGGCGTCTTGACACAGACTCACAAGAAGATCACAAGAACGTTTTTAAATCGACCCATAAATAATCAATCCATTTTTCTGCCTGTTCACCTCACAGCTGTCCTCCAGTCACCTGAGCAGCTCGGCTCACCTGGGCACATCGGTGCCCTCCATCCCCGACTACGTCTACTCCCAGCTGTCCCCCCCCACCGTCATGTCACCCGAGGGCAAGAAGATCCAGCAGGACATCTGCGCCATGTCGCATCGAGGTCAGACACACAAATGAATCCACCGGGAAAAAAAACTGTGAACTGAGCACGCCACACTCTGACCCCCCAAAATAAGATAAGATAATTCAATTCAATTCAATTCAATTTTATTTGTATAGCGCTACATCACAACAACAGTTGTCTCAAAGCGCTTTCCAAACAGAGCAGGTCAGACCCTACTCTGAAGTTAATTACAGAAACCCAACAATTCCCACCATGAGCAAGCACTAGGCGACACTGGCAAGGAAAAACTTCCTTTTAACAGGCAGAAACCTCGAGCAGAACCATGGCTCAGGGTGGGGGGACAAGATAAAATAAGATAAGATAAGATAAGATAAGATAAGATAAGATAAGATAAGCTTTATTGATCTCACAGTGGAGAAATTCACTGGTCACACATCGGTTTAGTGATTAAAGAGGGTGCAAACGGACCCTTTTCTTAGATATTTTGACTCTTTGAATCTTCTTGACCCTGAGGATAGTTGAACGTCTAACATGATCTCTACGTGAACTGAGACATGTTCGGAAAACGGTAGAGTCAAACTTCTCTGTCTTCTGGTTCCTCCTCAGTGTTTGCCTCGCTGAAATCGGTGCATGAGACTCTGTCTCTGGAGAGACAGAAGCTGCAGGAAGTGTGTGAAACCAACAACATCCACCCGTCGAACACCTTAGCTGTGGTGAGGTGAACTCTGTCTGGATGCTAACGGCCGTGTTTGGGGTTCTGGTTCTAACTGTCCTCCACCACCAGCCCGCCACGCCCCACCGGCCGCCCTCGGTTACGGATTCGGCCGCGGAGTACTTTGACGCGAGCGACGACGTCCTCTGTGGGAGCTCCTCCGAGGTGTCTGACGAATCGGGACTGAGTGATGGAAGCACCACCAACTCAGAGCCTGAGGAGGGACACGGTGAGTAGAGGGACGCTAGGAACTCTGTCCTGTTTTTGCCCAGTTTGTGAACTTAAGACCACAGTCAGTATACAGTGGGGGAAATAAGTATTTGACCCCTTGCTGATTTTGCAGCTTTGCCCACTTACAAGGAATGCTTATTTTTCCTCATCAGATGGTTATCAATTTTTATAAATTCATATGGTTTTCTGGAATTTTCTTTGGGATTCTGTCTTTCACTGTTAGAATGTACATATGATTAAAGTTATAGATCGTTGCATTCTGTGTAAGTGGGCAAACCTGCAAAATCAGCAAGGGGTCAAATACTTATTTCCACCACTGTAACTGTGGTTGAGATTCATGTGGAATTAAACACTGTCTGTGGTATCTTTTAGATATTTTTGCCATATACCTGTGAACATTTTCGCAAGTATTCATGTAGCTGAGAGAATAATTAACCTGGAATTAAAGCGCCTGACGTTTAAAATCTCCTTTCCAAGACGCAAACTCCTCTTCCAAACAAAACAATACACTGAAACAAAATTAAATCTGTACGTACAGACATCAAAAGGGAAGTATGGAAAACATTGTAGTTTATGACGTTCGTTTGCTTGAATAAAAAAGCTAACTTGAATATTTACTGTCGTGAAATTCGATGCAACAACGTATAAATTGTAGGTTTTGTGTATTTTTGTATCTCACCAAGTTGAAGTAATCCAAATACAGATATTTCATTAATGATATTTATTTGGATTTAGATTTTTTGGGATTTATTTCTGAGCTCCGCTGCTCTTAAACTGCTCCTCACAGTCTTTGGGATTTGAGCACAGACAGTAAAAATCGTTTTTATCTTTATCTGTTTTTGTGAATAATAGTGATTGATATTTTTTTGCAGCCTCTGCAACTCGGAAGTACCGAGCGAGCATCTCCAGGGCTCCAAACAGCGCCGTCCCTAAGAGCACCGGGCGGCGCACCACGCTGCCCGCCCACTGCCCGGATAACAGCCACGTGGGCCTGATGGCCATCCTCTACAACAACATAGGCAAGAGCCGCCTCACGCTTTAGAGCTTTCTGGGTTTCTGTTAGAATAATGGTACATAAGTTATCATGCATTCTCTGAATTACATATGTGAGTGTGTATGTAATTGGGTTAACTGTGTTTGTGTGTTAGCAAGAAGGGTATGTCATAAGCACAAGCTGTTTTGCATATAATGGGGCCTGCTGACCAGTTTCGATAAGCACCTGTGGCGTTTTCAAATTCCATCTAGCCTGTGGATGTGGACTCCAGCTTGCTTACACTTACACTTACACACACACAAGTACAGACTTCATGCATTCCTTGGACTCACTGCCTCGCTGTTACCTTTTTCCCCTTCCTTCAAACCCCCCCATCCCTCCCTCCCTATGTGTCCTTGATGTTGTGATTTGACTGTATCTGTGCTTTAGTGTACTGAGGTGTTGTCAGGAAGGGTGGATCTGGAGGGAGGACTCAGGTGCGGAGATGACGGAAAACAAGGTTTATTGTAACAAAAAACACTCATGAGTGAGTGAATGTCCAGACAAAATACAAATCAAGGCTGTGGAAAACTGTGAGCAAAGTATCAAAGCAATAAGTAAACAAGACTGTGGCAAAGTAACGAAATAAAGATCAACAAAACTGTGACAAGGCTGTGGTAAAACATGGCTATGGCTAAGTAACAAAATAAAGAACAACAAGACTGTGGCAAAACTATGACTATGGAACAAAGTAAAAGACTATGACAAAAAGCAAACCTGGTGTGGGGGTGACGAAAGACAGACGACGAAAGACGAAAGGACGAAAACGCACTCGCACAAGACAAGGGGAAACGAGGACTACTTAAACACATGAGGGTGGGGAACCCCAGGTGTACACAATAGGTAATCAAGACATGACGAGACACCAGAAATTCCCCCAGACGTGAAAGGTGTTTTTTGTAAATCACTGTTACGGGACTGGGCATTTTTTTCCCCCTTCCCGCAACCACTTTCCCAATGTATTCTTTTTGTTCTGAAGAAAAATTGGTGCGCCCTCCTGTGTGGCTGCCCTCAGTCTTCCCGAACTGGTGTGTCTGTGTGTTTTGTTTGTTTGATCTTGGTACGGGCTGTACTGGAAGTCAATTTCTCCCTGGAGATCAATAAAGTATATTCAATTAAAGTCAATTCAATTCAATTCAATTCTGAGGCCCGTGTCCCTCCCCAGGTAAGGACCTGGCCCGGGTTTCCATGCCGGCGGCCCTAAATGAGCCGGTGAACCTGCTGCAGAGACTTTGTGAGGAGCTGGAGTACAGCGACCTGCTGGACACCGCCAACAACACGCCAGACCCCTACCAGAGGATGGTGAGACCCCCCCCCGTGCCCCCTCTCTACAACAGACAGGGGTTTTTTGTCAATTAAGTCTAAGAAGTAACAAATTTAAGTTTGAATTACGTTTTTTTATTTAAACAATCAAACAAATACGACACAAAGCTTACATGGTATAATATGTAATGATATGTAATAATATTCTGTATAATATGCAGAAAATAAAAGCTTACAACACACGGTCAAAATACTAAAGAAAGTAAAAATAAAAAGGTGCTCCTGGATGATGAAGAAGGGAGAAAAAGGAAACAAAAAAAGGTAACAGAATATGAACATTCATAACGTGTACACATAAATATGTTGCTTTATTGAAAAAAGGACCCTGATTGTTGATTTTACTGTGCTTAGCAAACTAGTTAACAAAATATAATAAGGAAACACCCTGCCTTTGCCTCTTTTTAACAAACCTACAAGTCGAAAATCTACTGTCGAAAAGCTTACAACACACGATCAGACAATTAAAGTAAAAATAAAAGGTGCTCCTGGATGATGAAGAAGGGAAAAAAGGAAACAAAAAATGGTAACAGAATATGAAGTATGTGCGTCTTATACGGACACGTATCTTAACAAACAAATATTCTAATAACAAGGTTGAAAACTCTCTCTGTAATGCTCTAATTCCTGCCAGTCTTATAATAAAGCCACCACTGAGAAGTCAGGTACACTTGAAATAAATCCCAATTGTTTAACACCAACCTGCCCTTTGCCTTTTAATCTAGTCAGCATAACCTCATATACAGTTTCAGTCTTTAACACTTTCCATTCCTGTGAGGCGTTCGGGTGCCTCCCAGTGTTTTAGTATAATCCCTGCAGCTGAAGTTAGCCCAACCATCACCAGACTGGGTGATTATGTTGGAGCTGCTGCTCACGGTTTTCCCCTTTGTCTTGTTTTCTGCAGGTTTACGTTGCTGCCTTCGCTATTTCCGGCTACGCCACGGCGACATTTCGAAACCGCTACAAGCCCTTCAACCCGGTGCTGGGGGAGACCTACGAGTGCATCAGGGAGGATCGAGGGTTCCACTTCGTCAGCGAGCAGGTCTGTCCCTCAGACTACATTAGATCAAGAGATCCAAAACATTCTTTAAAATTGTCTGTATTCTATAAAATTCTGGCATTCTTTAAAATTGGGAAGAGATTACCCTTCATCACGTCTTCTCCATGTCAAAAATGTTTCACACACTGGTTTAATTGGGCCGTTTCACCACAAAGTGAGCCGGTTTACTTCTTTGATTACTTCTTTATCCTACATGATTCAGTATTTTATCTTAAGGTCATAAATTAGCTCCTTTATAAAAGAGGACCCAAAGTTTCATGATGTGTCAGCTTGGCAAATATTTAACTTTGATTGTAAACATTAAAAAGAAGAATGAGTGATGCTTTCAGGCTTTCTAATGTTTGAAGAACTGTGTCCTCAACATGAAGGCCAAAAGCCGATATTACTGTTAAAAACTCTTAATATGTGACGTTAAACATAGTTCTCTCAACTTAAAGGCTGAATATGTGAAAGCCATTTACCTTTTCTTCTTATTTTACCAGGTCTGCCACCATCCACCCATCTCTGCCTGCCATGCTCACTCAGAAAACTTCCTTTTTTGGCAAGGTGACACCTATTTTCTCCAACTAAATTGTATTTTTATGTTTCGTCATGTCCACTGACTGTATTTCCTGTCAAATTTGGCGCGTTTAGCAGTTTAGAGGGGCAACTTCAGCCATGACAACACTGGTTTGCCCTTGGTATTCAGAGCTTAGGTAGATCTCGTAGTCAGGATTTAAGTCCCCTAAAGTCCTCATATAATGCATCATGTCATTTAAACTGGCCTCTAATGATTTTTCTTAACAGACCAACGATGGAAAAATAGGTTCTGGGGGAAGTCACTGGAAATTGTGCCAACAGGAATGGTCAATGTGACTTTACCGAGGTGAGTTTGTGAAGACTGACACAAAGAAAAACACATTCACACGAATCACAATGTTTCTTGACAGAGTGTGTCCCAATAAATAATATCACATCAACCCAGAAGACATTAGTTACTAGATAACACATGGGCAGACAGATGTCTCTGGATGGGATCTACCACCGGTTATGAAGTTATGAGACTCTTTTTGTTTTGGGTCCTGGATCAGTGCTTTTATTTGTTAAACACAAATGGAGTAAATGACTGCAAATCATTACAAATCTTTGTATTCATCTTCCATCATCCATTCCAGGTTAATTAAAGACTAATTAAAGAGTCCAAATAACATCTGGCCAATGTCAAAGCTGCAGACAGTCCCTCATGAGGGCTCACAGACCCACACACACATGTTTGAATCATCCTTCCTTCTGACCTGAATGCCTCTTTCCACTCATTCCTCACTTTGGTGCACACAAAAATACAAACGCACAACAGCTTCCATTTCCACGGACTAGTTCCTGGTTTAAAGTTAAGCTATTTGATCTCTTCTCAAACAGAAAGTAAAACATGCATAAGTCAGCAGCAGTTTGTTGGCACTTTCTCTTTAAAATGTCCCGTTTGTGCATAAAAACTCACAGTTAAGGAGCCATAAACGTCAACTTCTAACCTTTATTGTTGACTTTAAAGTGTTTGACAAACCTGAGGTCAAATGTCAAATATTCTGAACTAGTTTTTTGTTTTTTTTCTCCAGGTATGGAGATCACTATGAGTGGAACAAAGTGGTGACCTGCATCCATAACGTGCTCAGCCAGCAGCGGTATCTGGAGCACTACGGAGAGGTCATCATCCAGAACCTGAAGAACAACGTCTGCACCTGCAAGATTACGTTTGTGAAGGTGAAGGAATCACCGTCCCCGGCACGTCGTCTCCTGGTGCTTGTAACTAACGTCTTTTCCTCTCGTCTAGTCTCGTTACTGGGGCTCAGAAACGAACAAGAACGAGGTCCAGGGCACCGTGACCGACCAGAGCGGGAACATCATCCACCGGTTCGGAGGCCTTTGGCACGAGGGCATCTTCTGCGACACTCTGCCCACTCCCAAATGCATCTGGAAGCCCAGTGAGTTCTTTTTTCCAACTATATTTATTGAACATTTTTTACAAAGTATAAAGATGACACATTTAGTGGCACAACTGTATGTAAACACAACACCCAGAAACCCCCACCCTCCCCTTCACAAGCCTTCTTGACCAGACAGACAAGCATTCACACACATACACACACTCACTCTTTAGGGAAAAATTTGTAAAAATAAACAATAAATAAAAATAATAAAATAGAAAATCAGAAGAAAAAGAATCTGAAAAATTATATATATATACATATACACATCAGAACGCCATAAACACATAAACAAACAAACAAACAAATAAATAAATAAATAAATAAATAAATAAATAAATAAATAAATAAATAAATAAATAAATAAATAAA